TTCTAATGTTATCCCTCGGTCTTCTGTATCTCAAGCTGTTCTATTGTTAGCCCTCGGTCTTCTGCATTTCAAGATGTTCTATTGTTAGCCCTCGGTCTTCTGTATCTTAAGCTGTTCTATTGTTAGCCCTCGATCTTCTGTATCTCAAGCTGTTCTATTGTTAGCCCTCGGTCTTCTGTATCTCAAGCTGTTCTATTGTTAGCCCTCGGTCTTCTGTATCTCAAGCTGTTCTATTGTTAGCCCTCGGTCTTCTGCATCTCAAGCTGTTCTATTGTTAGCCCTCGGTCTTCTGCATATTGGATCAAAATGACTTCATGAGATACTGTATTAGTGTGTAAGAGATAAGTTGCAGCTATAAGGGGTGACAAATGTAATAGTGTGTAAGAGACAAGTGCAGCTATAAGGATGACAAATGTAATAGTGTGTAAGAGATAAGTTGCGGCTATAAGGATGACAAATGTAATAGTGTGTAAGAGACAAGTTCCAGTTATAAGGGGTGACAAAGGTAATAGTGTGTAAGAGATAAGTTCCAGTTATAAGGGGTAACAAAGGTAATAGTGTGTAAGAGACAAGTTCCAGCTATAAGGGGTGACAAATGTAATAGTGTGTAAGAGACAAGTGCAGCTATAAGGATGACAAATGTAATAGTGTGTAAGATACAAGTTCCAGTTATAAGGGGTGACAAAGGTAATAGTGTGTAAGATACAAGTTCCAGTTATAAGGGGTGACAAAGGTAATAGTGTGTAAGATACAAGTTCCAGTTATAAGGGGTGACAAAGGTAATAGTGTGTAAGAGACAAGTTCCAGTTATAAGGATGACAAATGTAATAGTGTGTAAGAGACAAGTTCCAGTTATAAGGGGTGACAAATGTAATAGTGTGTAAGAGATAAGTTCCAGTTATAAGGGGTGACAAATGTAATAGTGTGTAAGAGACAAGTTCCAGTTATAAGGGGTAACAAATCTATACTTTCACATACATACACAACTTGTGCCTTTCAATGACCTTCCTCTCTATGACACTGATATCATTTAGTGTAGACGCCACTATTCTTGCACACTCTATAAGAACATCCATCCAAATACATTGTTTAAATGATTCTTAAGAAAATGTTGCACATTGTAACGTCAAATGAAGGCTCTTAAACAAATCAATATATGCTTACCTCTCCTCTCTTTTAGTTCTTTTGACTTTGATTAAAAATCCTGTGTACCACTTAAAACAATAGCATTTGCTGCCACGAAGTCAACATTGTGAATATGTCTCAAAATCACTTCATTTTCTTTTATCCTGCTGCCTTTCTTAGAAATCCTGAAATTAAGAAAACAAAAATCATTAATCAGCGTTTAACACCTCCAAACAAATAAAATGTTTCAATGTTAACTGTATATTTACTATAATTAATCACAAGAAATATCACTCGACTGTGGATTCTTCAGAGGAACTTTGACAGTCTAATGATTGCGTGTGATATATTTTTATGGTTAATAAGTTTTTATCTGAGAGCCCCCTCTAGTGGCACAGCGGTATGTCTGCGGACTTACAACGCTAGAATCCGGGTTTCGATACCCGTGGTGGGCAGAGCACAGATAGCCCATTGTGTAGCTTTGTGCTTAATTACAAACATACTTTTTATCTGAGATACCGACATAAACAGTTTTCTTTCTGGCATAACTGTAAATGTCTCAATAACAGTAGCAGTGGTACCAAACACCCCAACATGGTCAGAAGTTGGTGGGTTTTCATCAGCTATACCAGAATGTTTTTAATTAAATGCTTCATTGGTATGTTTCATATCAATAAACCTTCTGTAGCAGTCAGAATGGTACACAATAACGGACTCTTTAACGCCTTAAAGGAAAGTCCAGATTCGATGAATAAGCCTCTGTCAATTCCTGGTCAACCCTCACACCCCTAATTTCACTAGTTTCTTGCCAGCTTGGCGAAACATGTCCCTTGTTTTTAGTAAACTTTGTCTTCAAATCTGGTGTACAGTACACTTGAAATTGTTGTATTTTTTTATATGTTGTGACTTTAGGAATATAAAGATTTAGGTAATTCTCTGAGTCCTAACTGAAAAACGTAAAGATTTAAGTAATTCTCTGAGTCCTAACTGAAAAACGTAAATATTTAATTAATTCTGTGAGTCCTAACTGAAAAACGTAAAGATTTAGATAATTCTCTGAGTCCTAACTGAAAAACGTAAATATTTAAGTAATTCTGTGAGTCCTAACTGAAAAACGTGTCACACTCAAGACAAAGTCCTGAGGGACTCCAAGTTCCTGTGGATAAGAACTGGAAAGAGTCGAACCCACACGTATTTGGAATTGCCTGTTCAGTAAAAAGTTCTGAATAAAAATGGGTAAATGGCCACACAACATAGAAGTGGAGGCCCTGCAAAATGCCATACCTCCACGTAGTGTCATGGGCCTTCTCGAGATAAAAGAACACGGAAACAATGTGTTCTCTCTTGAGGAAAGCTTTCCTGATTGATGTTTCAAGTCGAATCAGATGGTCTATGGTGGAACACTGTCGACGGAACCCACACTGGGTGGGCGAGAGGAGCATGTTTGATTCGAGGAACCAAATAAGACAAGCATTAACCATCCTCTCTAAGACCTTAAAAAGAGAACTAGCCAAAGCAACGGGACGATAATTAGAAGGAATCTTGGGATCCTTCCCAGGTTTGGAGAAAGGGAGGACAATAGCCTGGTGCCAAGCATCAGGAAAAACATGCTCCTGCCAGAATAACCAGAAGAATAGCAAGAGAGGCAGGAGAGAAATGATGCAGGATCTTATAATGAACATCACCAGGTCCCATCAATGTACTGCCAAAATGATGAAGAGCAAGTTTGAGTTCCACCAGAGAGACGATTTGCCCGATAGAAAAGAGGTGATCACTCTGCCTGAGACTTGATGACCAAGAAAGCAGGGTAAGAAACAGAAGTGCTAGATGGCTTTGACATCGAACCTGCAGAGCGTGAGCACGGACCCACTGATAAACCATGCGGTTAGAAAGAGAGAGATACTATTGGAAGGTATCCCATGCCAGTTTTTGAGCCTTCAATGCCTCCTGGCAGGCAGGACTCCACCATAGAAGAGGGTACCATGGTAAACGTGTCGAGGTCTTAGGAATAAAGTGAGCAGCTGCCTGGACGAAACAGTCAGTCACTGCTGCCACACAATCGTCTATTGATGGCAGACAGACAAACGCAGGATCAAGTTCAAAGAGAGAGAGGGGTGAAAGATGGCCAGTCAGCCTGGTCTGGCTTCCACCATGGCACTCGGGTCAGGTGGCATCGACCATGGCTAACTTCCCACAAAATGATAGAAAAATGATCACTGCCTCATAGGTCACTGTCAACCATCCAAGAAAAGCGGGTAAAAAGTGAAGAGGAGAAGATCGAGAGATCAATAGCAATGAAAGACTGACTAGGTGCATACAAATAAGTATAAATTACAGTATTGAAAAAAGAAAGGTTGTGATCCGAGAGCATCTGCTCTAGGGAACGACCCCTCCCATCAATATCAGCACCGCCCCAGAGAGGGTTGTGTCCATTAAAGTGTCCCAGGATTAACAAGGGAGATGGCAACTATTCAACGAGAGCTTCAAGGTCCGATTGATCATAAATCTCTTCAGGAGACAGGTAAAGAGAACAAACAGTGATGGTACGACCCAAAGAAACACGGATGGCAACAGCCTCAAAGGGTGTATCGAGTAACACACATAAGGAAGGCGCTTGCTGGTCGACCAGCAATGCCACCCCTCCTTGTACCCGTCCATCACACATCCTGTCATTCTGGTATAAAGAAAACTGCCGAAAGGTGACTGTATTGGCAAATTTCAGAAATGCTTCCTGTAAGGAGAGACACACGGGATGATAGGAATCGATCGAGGCCTTGATGTCATCGAGATTAGAACGAAAACCTCGACAGTTCCACTGTATCAAAGTGGCAATTTTTATGTAGGTGGAAGAAAACTGGGTGGAGAACCCTTTGGTTTACGACCACGCCATTTCTTCTTTGCTAGAAGGAGGTCTATCGACCTCCATGGATCCTGCCCTTGGTTGATTGAGCAGATCTCTGTCATCAAACGTAGAATCCAGTGACTGAGGGCCAAAGAAGAAGGCCAGTGCCATAGGAGGTGGACCCAAGTAGTCACTGGAAGGAATGGTTGGAACAGAGATTGGAGTACACATAGACTGGTCAACTCTGTTATCCATTGAGGGTAGTAGACCCCTCACATGACGTGAAAAAGACTCAGATGGAGGCACAGAAAGGTCTGTGCATGGGGCATAGTGCAGCATATGTCCGAGATGGAGTAGGGAACAACAGCTTCCGAGCTTCTTGGTAAGAAATGTTGTTAACAGTTTTCAAACGCTGTACCTCTTTCTCCTCCACCCACTTAGGGCAAGATCTAAAGTAAGAGGGGTGGGAACCACTACAATTAATGCAGTGAAGGTCCAGTTCGCACTCATAGGCGTCGTGTTCCTTGCCAACACATTGAGCACATGTCACAGAACCACGAGATGCATTCGAATGACCAAACTGCTGGCACTGGAAACATCGGAGGTGGTTGGGAATATATGGCCATAT